AAATGAGATTGTTTCTCTTTCTCTCATAATACTTGTTTCCCTAAATTCTTTTTTGTCTTTTATTAATGTTGCCCAATCAGTCTTTCTTTTTAGTTGTTTGCATGGTGCATCTTTTCCCATCTTTTTTATTTTTTATTCTTCCTTGGTCTTTAAAGTATTTTCTTTTAGACAGTATATAGTTGCATCTTTTTTTTTTTTTAATTCTTTTTTTGGGGGGTGAGGGTTAGGTTTATTTATTTCTTCTTATTCCTTTTTTTTTAAATGGAGGTACTGAGGGTTGAACCCAGGACCTCATGCATGTTAAACATGAACTCTGCCACTGAGCTGTACCCTCCCACTGCATCTTATTTTTCAATCCAGTCCAGCAGTCTTTGTCTTAATTTGAGTGTGTATTCATCACATTTAGTTGATTACAGTTTGCCATGTTACTCTTTGTTTTCTCTTTATCCATATGTTCCTTTTTTTTTAATTATTCCTCCTTTCCTGTCCTTTTTTTGATATTAAGAGTATTTTTATTTTTTATCTCCTTTGCTAGTTTTTGCAGTATACTTCTTAGTGTTGCTCTTTTAAGTCATTTCTGAAAAAATTACAAAATACATCCTTAACATACAATAGTAACTATAAATTAGTACTTTTATCATGTTCTGAACAGTACAAGAACTTTATAATATTTCTGCATTATTTAATTCCTTTTTTGTTATGTTTTGAGATATTTTACTTCCATGTATGTTATAAATTCCATAAGACATTGTTAGTGATTTAAAAAAAAAAAACCTGGAGCAGGGTGGTTATGACACTGACATTTCTACAAGGCATAGAACAATCTCTCACAACAAAAAATTACTTGACTTGAAGTGTCAGCAGTGCCAAGGTTGAGAAACCATGCCTTTGGGGTCATGTCTTATTTTTCTCTGGTTGTTTACAAGATTTTCTCTTTATTTTTGATTTTTTGGCCATTTGATTATTGTATGCCTAGGTTTCATTGTCTTTGTTTTATTCCTTTGGTTATAGATTTTAATTTCCTCTTACATTACACTCTCTTTTTGAATAAAAAGCCTTTAGCGTACTTTTCTGTGCCTCCTCCTGTGCAGGACCCTGTCCCTCCAGTCCCAGCAACCTTTGCCCAGAGCTCTAGCCTCTGTTCCCTCCACCCTGTGACATCACTGGTTCCTGTTTCAACTTCATTTCAATACCCAACTCACAGAAAATGCTTCCAGGAGAAATTCCAGTGGAAATGTTGGATCACCTTATGTTTCTCTTCTCTCTCAGGAATTGTAGCCTTGTGTTGATTACAGTCTATGCTTGCAAACAGTTTTATATGTTCTGTCAAGATTTTAAAGTTATTTAAAGTTGGAGAGTAAGTCTCATACCAGCTCTTCTCCACGGCCAGAATCTGAAGTCCCTCCATTTCCTTTTATAGACAGATTAACTTCTTCTTAAGTCATATTTATTGCTTTGTGTTTTCTTCCAGAAGAAACACTGATTTGGTTGTCATTATGAATTAAGTTCTATATTTCATAGAAACAAGTGTTAATTGGGAAAACAGCTTATGTCGGTTAACTTACTACTATGTATACAGAAGTTGATGTCTTAATTACCTGTTGTATTTTCTGTGTTTCAAGGAATCATCTGTTGCAGTTTGCCTTAGAGTCACCACCCATATCTCCTGCTTCCTCCTCTTCAAAGAACCTTGCTGCCAAAGTGCACACTCCTGTAGCCTTCAAACATTCTTTAAAGCAAGGAAACAGGTTAATGGAGAATTTCTTTATTAGAGAAAGTGGTGGTTCTGCATCAGAGCTGTTGACAAAAGAGAAGAAAAGCAAATCTAGCCCTCAGAAAGAGGTGAGCACTTCTGCAAAGACCAAAGGGACACCTTTAGAAAAGTCAGCTCCACGTTCCCCGGACACTCGTGTTCCTGAGACACCCTCTACATCGGCTTTGAAACAAGTTGCTAAAGGTAGGAAACTATTTTCACAGGTGTATTTTCTTCGTGGAGATCTTCTCATCCCACGTGACCTAGGAATAAGTAAGCAGCATTTTTGAGGGGGAAGGAGTGGAAAAGGGCAAGCCAGATGTCACCTTTGACAGTCTCAGGGGGGTGTAGGCACTGCTTCCAGGATGTTTGCTGCAAAAATGAAGCAGTTTTAATTAGTTCATACTTTAAGCATGGCAGCAGCTTTTGGTTTTTCAGCTTTTCATTCCCCCCCTTCACCCTTCACGTCAGTTCCAGTTTAATGTTAAAGAGCTCTTTTTATCTTACTGTGTCAGTACTTGACCACTTCCGTGCTGTTCAGACTGGCGTTTCTGGCCTTAGACAGTTTGACTACCACCCTAGCTGACCTTAATTCTCACTTCTCCCTCTCAAAAATCCTCCTGCTCTAGCTGAGCTGGTCCCCCCTCTATTCCTTGCAACACCCAGGGATTGGAAAATGACAACCTGTAGGCCAGATTTGGCTTTTCATGTGTTTTTGTAAATAAGGCCTCACTGGAACAGCTGTGCCCGTGTGTTTACACGTTGTTGAGGCTGCTTTCATGCTAACCGGTGTCATTTATTGGTTACGACAGAAATCCTCTGGCCCCCAAAGCCTAAAATCTTTACTAACTGGCCCTTTTCTAAAAATGTGTGCCAAGCCCTGTTCTACCTTTGTGGACTCTATCCAGATCGAACGATTCTTTGGTTATGTTACTCAGTTTTGGTATTTCACACCCCTGAGGTGTCACCGCATTTGTTTTCTGGACTTTTTTGTGTACAATTTGCTTAACTTTTTGATGACTAAGTCAGTTTGTTTAATTAGCCTGTTGTTTCCATGTCTTCTTGCCAGTGAAGTTTAGAGCACTTTTTAAAAGGCAGAAGCTCTGTCTTAGACATCTTTGGTACACCCGTACCACACACAGTGCGGGGCCGTTAGTGGTTATCAAACTTGGCTTGAAATCAATTTATTAGTACCCAAATGTATAAATTTCATATGGAAATGTGAATTTTGTATTTGTATTTCCTAGCATAACGTATCTTTGGTCAGTCTTTTAAAAACTGACAGTTCTTATTGTACCTTTTTTTAAAAAAATTATTGTTTATTTAGATTTGTCTCTTTTTTTCTTCTTCTTCTTTTTTTTGTTAATGAAAGTACTGCAGATTGAATCCAGGACCTCATGCATGCGAAGCATGTGCTCTACCACCGAGCTGTACCCCACCCCCCTTACTGTACTCTTTTTAACTTGGTAACATTTTCTCCCTAGCAGGCCAGTTTTTTCGAATGAAATGTTGCAGCGAACCATAACATATAAAATAGATACAATTGGCCGTGCCCTGCTCAAGTAGAGTCGGAAGGCCTGGTGCCGCCCAACCTGGCCTCCCCCTTGGTCCCCGCCTGTTATCCTTGGTGACTTCCAGGCCCTGGGATACCTCCACAGACAGATTCCTGAAGCTCCATCAAACAGTTTCAGAGTGGTCGTCTTTCTTATTTTTAACACTACACTTGTACAGGCGTACCTTGAAGAGATAGAAGGTTCAGTTCCAAACCACCGCAGTAAAGCAAATAGCTCAATAAAGTGAGTCATACAAAGTTTTTGGTTTCCCAGTGCATATAAAAGTTATGTTTACTCTATACTGTAGTCTCTTACGTGTGCAGTGGCCTTATGTCTAAAAAGTAAAGTGTGTCCAGTATACACACTTTACTTATAAATGCTTTATTGCTAAAAAATGCTGGCCATCATCTGCCAATGCAGGGTTGCCACATACCTTCAATTTGTTTAAAAAAAAAAGGGGGCAATATCCACAAAGTAAAATAAAGTGAAGCACAAAAGAATGACTGATAACTGTAGCTACAAATGAAAGCTAAAGTAACGAATTTGTAGCCATTAATAATTTGAACAGTAGTTGGCCTAAACCAATACCTGTTTTAATCTAGTGCACATACCCTCCCCTCACCTTGCACCCCAGCCAAGTATATCTTCCTCAAGTCTTTAGGACTGCTTTGGTACTAAACGTGTGGTTCCTGAGATGAGAAAACTTAAGATTGGTTGTATAGCTTGGTAACGCCTTGGTAGAAAAGATTTAACTAAAGCATTTTCTAGTAAACAAATTTCCAGACTTCTTTTCAGTGTCTCCCTCTAGGCCCAGAATTCTGATTATGTGACCTTCCCTGGTGTAGCCATTACCCAGTAAAACCAGTCTGTCCCACTCCTGTTTCTCTGAGGTGTCCTTTTTCACTTCTGCTTAGTTCTAAGTACATGTTAAGGTTAGATTCTGTTTTTTGTCTTAATTAATGAAAGATGTCAGGTTATATTACTTTTGTTCTTTCTACAAATAATAAATTCTCTTTCTCTTTTTGCCAAATACAGTGGATTGTCCTGTTTGTGGGGTTAATATTCCAGAGAATCACATTAACAAGCACTTAGACAGCTGTTTATCACGTGAAGAGAAGAAGGAAAGCCTCAGAAGGTGAGGAAGTTCAGTGCACTCGTTGAGCTTCTGTAGCTCAGCGCCTCTTGTGCTGTGTGAACTGTTAGCTGACTGTCCATTCTCTCCTCGTTCTTCCTTCAACTCCCACCTTGCCAAATAGAATTAACTTTATTATGTGCTAATAAAATTTGACTTAACGAGACATTAGTGACTTAGAATTCAATCCTTTTTAGACTTGTTTTCTTCTCTTAGAATTTTAGAACTACCATAAAGCTCTTGGCCAAAGAAAGCGAGGTTAGATTCTGAATATAAAACATTTCAAATCTTTCTTTGGTTCTCAGGAAGCTCGGAAGTTAAAAATTGTTAAGTGTAGGTTTTAACAAAATTTATTTTTCTTTCTGAATATACATGTATACACATGACATTAAAAGGTATGTTTGAAATGTAATGTGTTCCTACCCACCCACACAACGATCCAGGTGACATAACTAAGTTGTCAACCCAGTATTTGTACCTAAGCTCGTGCTGTTCTGCCTCCCTTAAACATCAGAGTCCTGGTAGCTTATTAAACTAGGCTACTATTGTTCCATATATGCAAGTGTCTAGGAATTAAATTTTAGTCAGAATTCAGTTGCAGGGTGTTGTGGAATCAGTGGTAAATGAAGATAATAAAGAAACAAGCTGCAAATTAGATGAATCTGGGGATGAAGGGAAGAGATGAGATGGTCGTTTGGGGAAGGAGTAAGCAGCAAGATGAAGGAAAATTTTATTTTTTAAATTAGAAATTATTTAAGCCTCTAGCCTCTTTCCTTCTACTATCTCCAGGGAGAAAACAGATGATATATGGAACAGGAGATCAGAAGTCCAGTAATGCAGTTATCCTTACCATGCAGAAAGAACCCTTCTTCCAAAATAGAAAGGAAGGGGGAGAGAATAGGTGATAATTCAGAGAGAGCTGGAGAGGAGAGGAAGGAAATGGAAGAAATGAATGGTATCTGGGAGGTGGGAATAAACAGAGTGAGTGGCTCTTATGCTTGGTCTGTTTTGAAGAACTTAGAAGAGTATTTTCCAAAAAACCATGCTAGTAAGTCAGGACCAATTTAGTGTTTTTTTGTGATCAAAGATAAAACGGTGTGACTTATTTTTGATGAGTAAATCTGGAGTGAATGCAGGTTCTGAGGGACAAACTCTTGCTGTTACAATTTTCACAAGCTAACGTGAAGCACAGTGATGCTCTACTAATTTACAGTGAAGGGCACCAATTGACAGTTCTTACTGTCATGTTTTTAACTTGGTATATAAGTTTTTCTCCTCGCAGAACATTTTTTTTTTTCAAGTGAAATCCTACAGTGACTCTTAGCATTTAAAGTAGGTAGAAATGGCCCTACTCCATTAAAGCGGAAATGAAGGGCCTGGGGATTGTGCTGCCGCACCTGACCTCCCCCTTCATCCCTGCTTTGTCCACCGTGGCCATTAGGCCCCGAGGTGCCTCCGTAGATCCCTGCAACAGATGCTTGTGCAGTCTTGTACATGCAATACTCACTCCTGGTAGGCAAGTTTGTTAACAAGGGTAAAATTTAGATTTTCAGGTTGCCTGGTTAGTCAAGATTTGGAATAAATGAAGCTAGAGCTCCCAAGGATTATTTCCCAGAAGCCATGAAAATCTAATGACCTTCATCTCTCTTTAAAAATGTTTTTCCTAAAGAATCAAAAGCTGAGCATTTTCTCTTTGAAGAAGAAGGAATCAGCACTGATAATCTTGCTTGGACTGCTCTCTCTCTAGATGCGTCCATCATATTTCGTCTAACACACTTACCTCTGTCCGTTTATCCAAAGACATACTCCTCCATGTGTAACAAAGTTCAAGTCCCAGTAGTGCTTCTCCACGTACTCTGTGGGGCACTGTGGTTCTGCCAATCGCCTTCTAGCGCATTTAGAAGCACTGCATGCTCTCTCTCTTAGGGAATGATTCACTGTTCAAGATAGTGTATCAAAGAGTCTGAGAAGCCCTACGTCAAGCATAACTGTTGGGTTTTGTTCAATCCAGTAATTTCTAAATTTATTTGACCCCAGAACCTTTTCATCCTCATAAGTCATCTTGCAAAACTAGAGTTTGTGAAGATACACTTCAGGAAATGTTGTCACCTTTCTCTTTAGTTACATCCTGATCCTGGGGGCTGGTTACATAAGAGTCTCTGACATTTAAAAAATTTTCTCCACTCCACCCCAACAGGCCATTTCTTTAATGTGGATGAGAACCCTTAACCCATCCTAGGTAGGTTCATGTAGAGCTGATTCAAAGAATACTCCTCCTTTTGATGACCTCGGGTCCTGAGGACCCTTGAATGCATTATTCAGTTTCACTAAATCGTGGAGGAAAGATCATTGTCATTTTCATGTTTTGGGAAACATTGTCAGGCTTCATATTTTAAAATTCTTGACAGAAATTGTTGATTTCTGCTGGTGCTTTTCATTGTAAATGCCAGTGAACAGTACACTTTTCCATTAGAATTTCACAGTCATAAGTTTAATCATCTGTCCTTAATAAAATAAATATTTTCGATACAGACTCGATGGATTGTCCCTCACAATGTTTTGGTCTAAACTCCTACAAAATGTTTCAGCTCTTACTACCTACTGTGATTTTATTTAGCTATAATCTTATCAGTGTTGTAGAGTCCAGTAGGCTGTCTGTCATTATAAGAAGAACAATTTTCAGGAAAATGTAATCCACTGAGGGTTTGCAGGTCTTTCTGCAGTGAAGTAGTTATTTCTGGCTTTTAGATTTTATTGATAGAGCATAAAAGAAATAACCTAGCCAGGGAATGGTACTGTTGGTTAATAGAGGTGTTTGGTGGTTTTTAGTCTGTATTGGACTCTACTGTCTCTCACTTTTACCTGTGGTCTCTGGACCATTCACATCGATTTACCCTATGGAACCTTGTTAATACAGGTTTTAGGTCTCCACTTACAAGCTGTGTCAGAATTGGTGTGTGATGTGGCAAAGTGACTGAAAATTGAATTCTGAATATTTCTCCAAGTAGTTCCAAGATGCACTAGAGTTTGAGTAGCATGGCCTTGTGCCAAGTAGCTAGGCACAAGTCCTTTGTAAATCTTGGGTTTGTTTGTTTGTTTGTTTGGTTGGTTGGTTTTTGATAAACCTATTACTTTCAAATTCCTATAAATTTTTACCTAAAGTTTTGGTATTTTATGTAAAAATGCTCTCAATTATAATGACTACTTTATATAAGTATGTATTAAGCACCTAATTGCCAAAGCGTTGAGCCAGGCGATGTGCTCAGAGAACCAGGTTATAATCAGATTACATAGATTAAATTTCACTAAGGAGTTCCTGTCTATAAAGTTGTTTCAAGTCGTTGATACCTTTGGGTAGCTTGACTTCTACATATTCCATTTAAAGAAATACTGTTTATTAATTGGTTTTTTTGGAGGGAGTAGAAGAAAGTTATTTGATAGGGTTTTGTTATATTTTAAACTGTAGCTTGGTGCTTATCATTATAGTCATTATGCAAATACAGTCAAGAGCCAAGTGATGATTTGTGCTCTTTTGAGGACGATGTCCCTGTCTACCTGTCAGCTCTTTCAGTTCTTTCTTCATTGGTGTAATGAGTTGGATAAAGCTAACCATCCCAACAGGTCTTCTTGTATTTCATTGGTGCTTTTGCAAAATGATTGCCTTGGGTTTAAGGGGGCACTTTTGCCTGTGCATCGGAACTTTTTCAGAAGAAACTATATATGATGATTTTCTTAAATCCCTAACCTGACCCCCGATAGCATTTGTACTCTAATCACCAGATAACTGGTTCTTATAGAGACTTTGCATGGAAGTTTGCCTGGGCAAATTTTAGGAAAAGCATGCTTGAAAGAGGTGAAGGATTGAATAAGTTCACGTTAAGTGTGATTCTGAGTTCTCATAGCATTTAGTCCACAAGCCTTCCATATCTGAGTCCCAAGTCTGCATCTTTAGCCTGACCTCTTTCTAAGACCTAATTTTTTGTAAGTTTTGGCTGCCACCGGGACCCCTCTGTCTGAATGTCCCACCGCCACCTCACATGTGTCACTGTCAGATGAATACTGTCAACTTGACTCGCAAATTTGAGCCTTCTTCTCTTTCCCATTTTTATCTTAATCATTCCACTGTTCTCCCACTCACCCCAGTATTGAGTCAGGAGGTAACTTACTGTTTTGCATGAAAAGCATTTGATAATTCACAATAATCCTCAGTGATCTCTTTTTTTCCCCTTTCAGTTCTGTTCACAAAAGGAAGCCATTGCCCAAAACTGTATATAATTTGCTCTCAGATCGAGATTTAAAGAAGAAGCTAAAACAACATGGATTATCTATTCAAGGAAACAAACAACAGCTCATTAAAAGGCACCAGGAATTTGTACACATGTACAATGCCCAGTGTGATGCTTTGCATCCTAAATCAGGTAAAGTAATAAAACAATGAGTTATGTTTCTCCTCTGGATAAAGCAGTTTTCTGTAGCTCAGGGATTATAAACCACAGAAAAAAATTTTAATATATTTTTGATAGCAGGTGAGACATGCAAATGTGCCCCTTCTGAAGGTACCTAGAATGTCCTGTGATAAGCCAGCCTTTCTCTCAGCCAGTCTCTCCATCCTTGATCCCTTCTCACGTCCACTGCTGCCAGCTTCTTATGTATCTTTCCAGAGGTAGTAGGGGTGAAGGTTGATGTAGAGAGCGTGGGCTATAAGCCCAGTTTTGCTTTGTGACCGAGTGACTTTTTTAGGCAAGTTACTTACTATCCCTGTACCTCAGTTTTGTCACCCTTAAAGTAAGGTTAAAATAGTAGCTACTTCTCAGTGTTTCTGAGTGGAATGAATGATAAAATGCACGTAGAGTCCGAGCATAGTACCTTAGCAGGTAGTTAGCATTCAGTAAATGCTACTGTTAGACTATTAAGATTATTATCCACAAACATATGTCCTTGATCATTACTGTTTTATAAAAATTTACATACACGCTATGTAATAGTTTGTTCTTTTCATTTCATCACACCCAGATTTTGGAGTTCTTTAACTTATTAGCATATGTATAGAATTGCCTAATTAAAAAAATTAAAGTATGATCTGCAAACAGAAAATTACACAAATTAAAAACATATTGTTTGGTGAGTTATCACAAAGTGAATTTCCCAAAGGGATAATGCCTTTGTAACCACTACTCGGAGCACTGCCAGCATCCCCAAGGCCCTGCCCTCCCTCCCAATCACTGCCCCCTTCGAAGGCTTTCACAGGCGACCACCATCTTAACTTCCAACACCATATATTATTCATTTTGCCTATATTTTATCTTTATATAAATGGAATAATGAGTAGCTTATGCATTCTTTTGAGTCTGGCTTCATTTTGTGCAACCTTATATTTATCCATGTTTTTGTTTACAGTTGTGATTTTTTCTTTTTTTTTTGCTGTAAAGTGTTCTATTGTGTAAATATATTACATTGTCCATTCAATGCTTGATGGGCATTTGGATTTTTCACTCTCTGGCTCTTAAGAATAATGCTGCTTTGAGTAATCTCTTGCAGATCTCTTTTGCACACAGGTACATGTATTTTGGGGATATGTGTACCTAGGTGTGGAATTACTATGTTATATTTTTGGAGATGTTCAGTTTTCATGGGTACAGAAGCCCAGTGCCAGTGTATGCTCTCATCCAGAGGGTATGAGAGTTCTAGTGTTCCCACATCTTAGCAACATCAGTATTGTCAACTTTCTGTTTTGGCCGTTCTAGTGGGTCCATGGTAGTATCTCATTATGGTTTGCGTTTCCTTAGTGGCTTATAATGTTCAGCCCTTTTTTATATAGTCATTGACCATCTGGATATTTTCTTTGGTGAAATACCCATTGAATCTCTCATGCCCACTCTTTCTGTGCTGTGGATCTATTTTTTCCTAATTTATTTGTGGAAGTACATAAATTTTTCTGGATACAAATCTTGCTAGATACATGTATATTTAATCTCTTGTTTCATATTCTCATTCTCCTAATGCTTCATTTGAGAAGTAGAAGTTTTAAATTTTGTATCTCATTCGTTGAATTTTTCCATTAGCTAGAACTTTTTATGTCCTTACCTACCACAAGGCTGTGTTTTCTTCTAAAAGGATTATTCTTTTTGCTTCTACCTTTCAACCTAAAACTTATCTGGAATTGACTGATGCTGTGAGGCAGAGGCGAGATTCTTTTTTTTCTATATGGATAGCTGACTGATGTAGCACTGTTCATTGAAAAGCCATCCTTTACACCCTGAATTGTCAGTCCATCTTGGTTGAGAATCAGCTAACTGTATTTGTGTGGGTCTGGTCATTGTTTTGTTCTGTTGGGTCATTTATTTCTCCTTGTACACTCCTTACTTACCCCAGTTCACTGTCTTAATTACTTTATGAGTATTTTATAATAGATCTTGCTGTCTGGTAATGTAGTTCCTCCAGCTTTGTTATTTGTAGAGATTGTCTATTAATAGATGAATTGATACTTGAATTGTGGTACAGCCATACAGTGGAACACTGCTTAGCAGTAAGAATGAATGAACTGCTGATGATAAATGTAGCAGTGTGGATACATCTCAAAAGCATTGTGCTAACTCAAAGAAGCCAGATACGAAAGACTATGTAATGTACAGTTTTAAAATTCCATTTATCTGGCATTTTAGAAAAAGCAAAACTATAGGGACATAGAAGAAATCATATTTCACAGGGCCTTAGGGTAAAGGGGAAGGAATTTACTCTAGGGTAAGCAGAGGAACTTTTGGAGGTGAAGGAAGTGTTCTGTATTCTGACTGAAGTGATGACTGAATGACTATTCACAGGCAGCTGAAATTATCTCCAATTTATCGTGGATAAAGCTACTATGAACATGGGCTCACAGGTTTTATGTAGCTGTATGCTTTCATTTCTCTTGTATTTTCCTTTTCATTCAGTTAAAAGACTTTTGAATTTTTGTTGTGATTTCTTCTTTGACCCATGGGTTATTTGGAAGTGTTTTCAGTTTCCAAGTGTTTGAATATTTTGCAGATACCTCTTAATTATTCATTACTAATTTGATTCCATTGAACCAGTTCTGTATGATTTCAGACATTTTACGTCTATTGAAGCTTGTTTTATAACTCAGCATTAGGTCTTCCTTGGTGTATGTTCCTTAAGCACTTGAAAAGTTTCCTTTTTTTGTTCAGTGATCTGTAATGTTAGTTATGTAAAGTTGCTAGATAGTGTATTCAAGTCTTCTGCATCTTTACTGATAGTATCAGTTACTGAGAAGATTATTGAAATCTCCAAGTGTATTTATAGATTTTCTTTTTTTCCTTTCAGTATATTCAGTTTTCTTTACGTTTTGAATCTCAGTAATTAGGTGTATGTGCATTTAGTATTGTTACGTCTTCTTGATGAGTTAATCTACTTGTTAGTATGAAATATTTGTTTTAATCTCTGATGATATTCCATAAATAATAACCTTATTTCACTTTTTTTCTTTAAACAAATTATATCATTATATTTATATTGTGTTTTTTGGTAAGCAGTATATGGTTTGGATTTGCTTTTTAAATTTAATTTGACAAGATGTATTATTAAATTGTAGAATTTAAAACTTTTTCAGTTAATCTGTTTGGTTGAGTTTAAGTCTACCATCTTTTCTTTTTCTATTTGTCCTGTCCATTGTTTTTCTTTCTTTTCTATTGAATATTTTTTAGTTCTCCATTTTATCTCCACTGTTGGTTTCTAGCTTTACCTCTAACTTTATGTGACATGTTTAACATAAGAACCTTACAACTTTCATCCTTGGTTTTATTGTCATAGATTTTTCTTCCATATCTTATAAACCCCTTAATACGTTGTTACCATTTTTTGCTTTAAACTGTCAATTTCCTTTAAAGAAAGTTTAACAATTGAGAAGGAAAGCATATATGTGCCAGCACAGTCACCATTTGTAGTGTTCTTCATTTCTTTCCTTAGGTCCATCTATCTGATACCATTTTTTTCCGGCCCAAAAAACTTTAACGTTTCTTGTAGTGCAGTTGGGACAAGTTCTCTCAGCTTTTATTTGTCTGGAGACGTCTTAATTTTGCATATTTTTTTTAAAAAGTTTTATCTGGAAATAATTTTGAACTTATGGGAAAGTTGAAACACTATCATAAAGAACACATATATACCTTTTACACAGATTCACCTGTTAGCATTTTATCCCTTTGCTTTATGAATTACAATTTCTCTGTGTGTATGAATGTATATGTGTTCTTGTGTGTGTTCATCTTTATATACACATGTTTTTACTTAAACCATCTGAGAAGAAGTTCTATAATCTTGACTCCTAAATACTTCATTGTGTATTTCCTAAGAAAAGGGATATTCTCTTTTATTGCTGTAGTGTAGTTACCAACTTTGGTAAATTCACCTTTGTTATTAAACAGTTCTTCAATCTATCATCTCGATTCCGGTTTTGGCAGTGGACCCAATAATGTCCTTTATGGATTTTTCTTTCCCTCAAGCCCATGATCCGGTTTTGAATCACAATATTAAATTTAGTTGTAATATCTTTTCAATCTCTTTCAGTCTGGAACAATTCCTCAGCCTTTCTTTGTCTTTTATGACATTGGCATTTTAAAAGAATACAGTCTTTGTTGTTGTTAGTTTTTTTCCCCCAAACAGAATGTTTCTCATTTTGGCTTTGACTAATGTTTCCTTATAATTACATTCAGGTTGTGCATTCGTGGCCAGAATGCTATATAAATGATGTTTTGTCCTCAGAATGTCACATCTGGATGTATTTGACATTTTTGTGCTCCTCGTTGTGGTAGCAGATTTGATCACCTTGCCAGTTTCTTCATTGTGTAGTTTCCTCCTTACTCCTAATAAGAAATCTGTAGGGAGACACTTTACCACCATATAAATATCCTATATGTCATTAAAATCTCACCCCTATATTTAGCATTCTTTGGTAATTTTCACCTGAACTAATCTTTTCTGTATAGTTGCAAAATGATGATTTTCTAATTTCAGCCCTCTTAACACATTTACCGGTCGACACTTGCTGTAATTCTGAAAAGGAGCCTTCCCATCTTCTTTTATTCTTTGTCTCTTATCAACAGGAATTCACAGATTTGTAGCTTATTTCCTTCCTTGATTATTTTGATATTTACATTTCCAGATTAGGTCAACGGGAACTTCTCTATGCTGATTCATGGTCCTCATGATATACCCTTATCATCATCATCATCATCATCATCGTCATCATTACTACCATTTCCTTATTTCTAGCATAACAAGGTAGTAATTCCCTATGCCAGCCCTGGAACCAGCTTTGGTCTTTTTTGGAGGGGGAACCAAGATACTGCTACTAGTTACACTTGTTGCTACCTGCTGCCTTAGCTTCTATGCTCTTTTAGCAGATGGAGCTCAGGAATATATGCACATGTACACAGATGCGTACATGGATATGTGTGTACGCACACCTGCGTGGATGCAGTATGCTGCATGTATATGTACGCATGTAAGTCCACTTGTATGTACAAGGAATCATGAGAACATGCCAACAGCTCTACTTTCAGTCCCGCCCCGCAGAGTTCCTCTGTACTTTTCTCTATTTCATGTTTGTATTTCCCTTTATCACAGAAAGATCTTCCCTCCCAGTGGCATCAGCACATTTACCAATTTGCTCAGTTCTGTAACACATCTGAAATAGTTCCAGAAGTGCTTCATCTCTGCTGCTACACCTCTGCAAGCAGAGCAAGAATCCCAGGTTTCTCACTTCTCTCCCCCTGGCTCTCCCCTGCCCTCCCCCTTGCCTGGACTCGGCACATAGTCAGACGCTGTGTTTATAAGTTCTTTTTTCACTTCCTTGTGGTTATGTTCTTATTTGAAATAATACAGTGACCTGCTCATTTGCTTCACTTTGTCTCCAATATTTGTTGTTGTTATTTAGTTTTCTCTTCTAAGTATGAGAAATTAATAAGAAATATAACATTTAAACTACTTTAAAGAGATACACCGTTGACCCTTGAGCAACATGGGTTTGAACTGTGTGTGTCCAGTTATGTGCAGATTGTCTTCAATAAATACAGTACCTGTATTTTCATTTTACAGATACTGCATTAACTAAGTGTGGGGAAAAGTTTGTGTTCCGTTAGAGATCACAGTAAGGGGAATCAAAAGAACTAGGGTTTGAGTCCTGGTTCTATCCAAACCATTTGAGTTTCCTGCCATTTGTTAATTCCTTTGTTTTTGAGGCAGAAACAGCAGGATGGGAATTTTCAGCTGTGCTAGGGGTCGGTGCCCTCTGTTGCTCAAGGGTCAACTGTATTTTTATAATGGACCCATTGCTGTCATAAAAGTATTACACACACTAACAGTGTTGTTTTCTTCTGTTTCAAGAGTATTCCTAATTACTTGTTGAAGCATTTTTATGTTAGCTTTAAAGTTCCTGTCAGATAACTCTGACATCTGAGTCATCTTCGTGGTGGCATCTGCTGATTAATCTTTTCTCATTCAAGTTGTGGTTTCCTTACTTCTTACTGTGGACTGTGTTTTTTATTATACCCTGGGCATTTTCAGTATAATATTCTAAGAGTCTATACTTTTAAAAATATTCTTTTTGGGGGAAGATCTAATTGGCTTCATTAGGTGCCTCAGGAATTGGGCAGTATCCCATCTAGAGACTGGATGAGTGCTCCCCTAAATACTCTGTTTCAGCGAGCGATCGCCTTGTTTGGGTTTGGCACCACGGATCCTGGTCTGCTTCTGTGCGCTGTGGTTCTAATGACAGTTTAGTTTTTAGAGCCCTTGCGGTGTGATTCTGGTTTGCCTCATGTAATTGCTACCTGGAGGCTACTCTGGAAATCTGGTATTCCACACTGTGGCTCAGTTCATAAACCTTTTGCCACATTAATTCTAGACCATTTCACGTGTGAGTCGGTCAGAGGCATATCCAGGATTTCCTTTTGCAGGAGTAAAGAATACTTTCCTCCAGGTTTTTTCTCTTGAGAGCCTCTTCCCCCAGTTACTAGTTGAGAGGATGAGGGTGCCATCTGCCTCTGCTGAGCGAGTAGAAATCTGGACTCCTCACTGTGTCGCCACTGACACTTTTGGCAGGAGAGGAAAGCCTGCTGCAGGCCCCCTGCTGCTGCTGGGTGTGGGGGGTGAGGAGCTGGAGGTCCACACTCCCCGCCTACCCTCCAGTGATACTGCAGGGCGCTGGGAGCATCAGCATGTTCAACTGGAGTAGGTCAGGTATTGTCCAAAGGGTGTTGTTCAAAAGGTTTCTGATCTCTTCCTTTCACAGTGCTTTGCTTAGAATAGGTTTTTCTTGGTTTTTTTGTTTTGTTTTATTTTGTTTTTTTACCTTCTGTGCCTGTTGGCATTTCTGTGTTGCAGTTTTCACCAGAGACCAGCCTGGGACTTTTAGAGGATGAAAAGAAAACTCTGGAAACTTACCACAGTGTTGTTCCTCAAATTCTGAGGTCCTTAGCCAGTCCATTTTCCTCCTTGCACCTTTTGGAGTTCTCTTACCGTTGTCTGTTATATCTGGGGTTTTTCGTTATACTCAGGCAGAAAATTATGAGAAATGAGAAGAAAAATGAGTCTACCCATCCTGTTTGAATCCAGAAGTTCTTGTTCATGTACGTATTTTAAATCTCTATGTTTTAGGTACAGACACATTAAGGATGAAGTCTTCTTGCTGAATTGACTCCTTTATATAATTTCCCTCTTTATCCCAGATAATAATCATTGCTCTGGAGTCTCTTGTGCCTTGTATTAATATAGCTATTCCAGGTTTCTTTCCATTAGTAATTATGTGATATGTCTCTTTCCATACTTTATTTTGAACCTATCTATGTCTTTTATTTAAAATGGGTTCTTGGTTCACAGCATATTGTTTGGCTTTTCTTTTTTATTCATTCTGCATTCCCTGTCTCTTGTTGGTGCTCTTAGACCATTTACATTTAATGTAGTTATTGATACAGTTGGCTTTAAACCTAATGTCTTGCTGTTGTTTTCTGTTTGTTCTATCTGCTTTTTTGTTCCTTTTATCCTTTTTTATTGTCTTTTGGATTAATTATTTTTAAAATTACATTTCATTTCTACTACTCGCTTGTTATTTGACCTCTTTTTCAAGAAGTTTTAGTGTTTGCCTTAGGGTTTATAATGTACACCTTTAATTAGCCACAGTCTACCTTCAAATAATATCCTGCCTCGCTTGTAGTGTAAGAATCTTACAACGGTACACCCCCAATCTCTTAATTCGTTGTGCTGTTGTTGCCATGAATTTTACGCTTATACGTATGCTGGTAGTTAACACAATGCATTGCTATTTTTTTTCCTTTAAACAGTTATCTTTTACATTAGTTAAAAATAAGAAAAATATGTTTCATGTTTGCCTCAATTTTTGTCATTTGTAGTACTTTTCATTTCTTTTTATAGAGATGAGTTTCTGGTTTTAGATTTCTTCTGCTTGAAGAACTTCCTTGAACACTTTGTAGTCCAGGTCTGCTGGTAACACATTCTCTCTGTTTTTGTTTGTCTCAGAGAGTCTTTATTTCTCTTTTGAAAAATATTTCCATTGCTATAGAATTCAAGGTGGGTGGGTGTTTTCCCCCAACACTTTAAATTCTTTATTCCATTTTCTTCTATCTTGAGTAGTTTTTGATGAAAAGCATGACGTAGTAATGCTTGACTCTTCTTGCATAATATACCCTCTTTTTCTGACTGGCTTCAAGATTTTCTCTGAGAAAATATTTGCAAATGATATGACCAATAAGGGATTAATATTTCAACATATGTAAACAGCTTCATACAAGTCAAAATAAAAAAAAATGATTTGATTAAAAAATAGGCAGGAGAACTGAATAGACATTTTTCTAAAGAGGAAATGCAGATGGCCAACAGGCACATGAAAAGATGCTCAAAATCACTAATCATCAGGGAAACGCAGATTAAAAACACAATGACATATCACCTCACCCTTGTCAGAATGGCTGTCATCAAAAAGAACAGAAATAACAAATGTTGGCGAGGATATAGAGAAAAGAGAGCCATTGTGCACTGTTGGTGGGAATGTAAATTGATGCAACCACTGTGGAAAACAATATAGAGGATTCCCTAAAAACTCAAAACAGAACTACAATATGACCCAGCAATTCCACTCCTGGGTATATATCTAAACCCCAAAAACACTAATTTGAAAAGTTACATGCACCCCAGTGTTCATAGCAACATTATTTACATTTGCCAAGCTGTGAAAACAACCTAAGTGTCCATCAACAGATGAATGGATAAAGAAGATGTATATACATTTGCAATAGAATACTACTGAGCCATAAAAAAAGGATGAAATTATAAATATGAATATGATGTATGTATATGCATGTATGTATATGCATAACTGCAACATTGTGCTGTACATCAGAAATTGACATGTTGTAACTGACTACTTCAATTTAAAAAAAAGAATGAAATTTTGCCTTTTGCAGTGACATGGATGACTTGGAAGGCATTATGCTAAGTGAAATAAGACAAAGACAAATCCTGTATGATATAACTTACATGTGGAATCTAAAAAATACAACAAATTAGTGAATATAACAAAAAAGAAGCACACTCACAGAGAACAAATTAGTGATTACCAGTGGAGTGGGGAGGGGCAGTTGGGGTGGAGAAGTGAGAGATATAAACTGTTGGGTGTAAGACAGGCTCAAAGATGTCTGTACAACATGGAGAATATAGCCAATGTTTTGTAATAGCTGTAAGTGGAAAATATTCTTTCAAAACTGTATTAAAAATGTAAAAAAACCTACTGAGATAATAAATGGGTATTATATTAAGATGCTAAAAAGAAAGAAGCCTATTGTACTACATTTATTATGTTGAGTTTGAATGGGTATCCCCTAAGAATAGAATTCACAGTAACATTAATTTTCACATTCCATTGGGACTGCTATATATGCACCTATATACTCAAAGAAAAGAGCAAAATGACTTTGCTGTACTCTTCTGGTTATGTTTTAAACTGTGATTGCGTGTGTAAAAGTTACATGTTTTAACTCTGTGTTCTTAGTTTTTCCAACATTTTATTTTGAAGTAACTTTAGAGTTACAGAAAAATTTTAAAGATAGGGCAGGAGTTCCCGTATACCCATCATCCAGCTTCAGTATTAACAGTTGTGTAACCAGGTACATTGAGCAAAATCATATAATTGACATTGGCTATATGTCCTTGTTTCAACAGCTGCTGAAATAGTTCAGGAAATTGAAAATATGGAGAAAACGAGGATGCGTCTTGAAGCTAGTAAACTCAACGAAAGTGTATGTTGATGCTCTCTGTCAGTATCTGGGTAGAAATGAAGGAAAGAAGAATTGAATACCCTACAAATTAAAAGAAACCAGTAGTAAATCTGTTGAGTGGGAAATGTGCTAGAACACATTTCCATTTAATGTATTATAATTTACTTGCAGCTCATTTTTAGCACAAAATTCTATCATATTTAGCAGTCTTCTGGCACAAAATGCAATCCAAAGTAGAGTTTACTAATGAATTAGAGTTTTGTGGAAAAAGTGTATGCCTGTGCGTTAGGTAACCTTGGTATTAGCCCTTTCTCTGGTGATAAGTTATTTGACATTTAACCTCTGCATCCATAGGACCTTCATTTGTAAAACTCAGGGGTTGAACTGTATGATCTCTGAGATCCCTTTGAGTTCTGGAATTCTTCAGTTCTATGATTATACTCACGGAGAAATTAAGTATCATAAGAGTTTGTGAGGTTGAGCATCTTTTGAGCTTATTGAGGGAATCAGAGACCTAAATTTCTTTACTATTGCCTTCCTCTAGCTTGATGGTCCAAAACTTGAGGGAAGGATACCAAAGAAGAAAGTAGTCATTGTGTCCTTTGACACTGGAGGAAGTGTTTTGGGCTCTCCCAAATAGACTGTTTTTCTAGACCATCAGTAATGTGTTTGTAAGGAAAGCAACGACCTTAGGGAAGTAAGTTTATAATCAGATAGTAGGAAAAAAATGAGATTTTCATTGACTTTATTATTACCTGTATGCTAACTGTAAGATGGAGACTGTAATGAATCATGTAAGTAGATTTCTGATCTTTTAAGTCTAAGATTTAAAAAAGTGGAACAGAAATTGAACATACGAAGCCTTGTATCATTGTATTTTCATTTTATGTATCTTGTGGTAGATTTGGAAAAATTAGATTGGAAAAAATAGAAGGCAGACAAAAAGATCTACCTTTTAATGATCTGCTAAATGTCTCTTCCATCTTGTATATTTAAGTGTTATTTGTATTAATGAATGTGAAAAATTAAATATTGCAAATGGGAAATTTAATTGTTGTGTTAATTTTTTGTAAATTCTAATGGAATCAGTGTTGCATTTACTACTGATAAAAAAAGTAATGAGTAAAATGTATATTTATTACAAAATTCAAGGGAAGTAGGCAGGAGTTAATCTTCCTAGGTATATATAAAACAGATGAGAGATTGTTTTCCTCTATTTTAAACATCCAGATTTGAGATTTTAAAGTTTATAGTACTAATTTCTACATTTGTCTTTTTTTGAATTTTTAATTAAGAATTTTTGGATTATTTTAGATACTGGTTTTTACGAAGGACCAAACAGAAAAGGAAATAGATGAAATTCACAGTAAATATCGTAAGTTATGTGATGTTTTATTTGTAAAAAACTTGGGTTGCAGTTTTTCATCTTAAGTAATTTTCTAAAATAAATTTTTATATTAGTGTTAATACAAACTTCCTTGTTAATATTACTTGAGACTGAATTTTACTTGAGTGTTTACTCAGACAGTGACCTTTTTTGTGACCCTATGTGCCTGCTCTATGATTTGTGACTAACATTCCACTTTGAACTGATCACCAAGCACTTTGCAAATATTAATGAATTACTCTCAAAGCATCTCTGTGGAAGAAAATGGGATTAAAATGGAAACATTCCTAACTTGCCATCCTGTCCTCGGGCCACTCAGTGACAGTATTTCTGTAAAGAATTTCAGCATTCTGTAGCTTGCAAATTTGTGCCAGAAATAGTTTACATTTATTCATTATTACTAGCTTCCCAAGTTTATTGCTTCATTTTCCTTAAATGACCTTTGTTTGAATCTTTTCCAGTGGTAGCACATTCCTGTTTTGTCAATTAAGTAGCTGTTTGTTGTCTGGTTGGTTGGCTGGTTTCTAGTTTAGATTTCAATTTAAGTCCCCGGCAAACAGTAGGTGGTTAATATTTGTATCCCCTACATGATATATTTTAGTTGTGCTAAGAGAATTTTGTTTTCTCTTTTCCTTCCTTGAGCTTTGGAGGGGCGGATTCAGCCGTGCTCTGTCTGGGGCAGGAGGATGTAGTTGGGTGGCCTGTGCCTGCCCGGAGTAGGGAGAGGGGCCCGGCTGGTTCACGGACCAGAGACTGTAGGACAGAAGCCACAGCTCTCACGCTTGAAACATAAGCAGGTGTGATCGGTTCTCTTTGATCAGCCTTTAGGAAGCCAAAATGATTTTTCTTGCTACTGGAGCTAGAGAGTATCAAATGATCACTGAAGTGGCAAAACTAAGGCCTGTAACAAGAAAATTTACATGAAACAAAAATAATTTAAATCACTAAAGGATAGTGTCTAACAATTAAGCTACACTAAAGAAACAGTGGATTAGATACAGTCAAAATGCAAATATCTATTGCCAACCATTTAAAGATCTTTAAAAAGTTTATAGATCATGTTAAATTAATTCATTTAGCCCTAAAATAAACCTCGATATATCCTTTTTTTCTAACCTTTCAGATACTTTCTAAAACTTAAGTACTTAGCATTATAGTTCAGTCATACAGTTTGATTTAGTATCAGAATCCAAACATACTACTGGTATCGCCTCTTCTTTTAAACATTTTTATCAACGTTTTACATGCGGGTGGTTTTTTAAAAACCACATATTTCTACAAGGGTTATAAAAAACAAAAACCTGCCTCTTCTACCACCAACCTGTCTCTATTCCCATTTCCTCAAGGTAACAGCTGTCAACCCTTTTGGCTTTTGTTTCGGTAATTACCTTCATTCCTATAAAAGATTGTTCTTTCTGCTGTTTCTTGAAGTGTCTCAGTTTTCTGTGTTGACAGCTGATTGAAGTCCTAACAGGACAAATGAAGATTTAGCGCTTGTACATCCTGACTCCTACTTTTGCCTCCCTCCCGACCTCTGAATACTGTCCTAGTTCTCTGTAAGTTCAATATTTAGGAAGAGACATCGTTTATAGTTTGAACCAGACAGCACCCTGCTGTGGTGTTGCAGGGCAGCAGGGTGTGCGCCCAGACTGGGCCCCTGTGGCGTTCTACTTTGAGCTGAAGGCAGCTGAGAAGCAGCGGGAGCAAAGTTCTCTGCCTTGCCCCGTTAGTCTGAGTGCAAGACATAATTATGAAGGTGTCTGTCCCTCCTCTTCTGTCTCTCCTTTGAGGTAAGTTAGTCTCTGTGTCAGTGGAGAAAGCTCTGACTTAAATCAGCATAAAAGACTTTGCTTTTCTCTGCATTTTTTTCCCTGGCAATCTCCCCATAACTGGCCTCCCCTACACTTTTCTTTTTTATCTAGGTGAAGACAGCATTTAGGTCAGTGTTCTAAGTCATCTCTGAGTGGCTTAGAGGTACTCATTTTTCTCTGCGTTTCTTCCATGTATATGTGAGGTGTACATGGTGATAAACTCCTGCTTATTTTTCTCATGTAAATCTGTCTTTTATTATAAGGCCTCAGCTAAGAACTAAGAAGGTCAGAGGGAAAATTAATTTTTCTTCTCCTACAGTTATAAGTCCTTTCAGGAAAATATTCTTTTTTCCTATAACTAATAATTTTCTTTGCTTAGATTTCTATTTATCTAGTATTAACCTATCTCCAAACATCAGAAATGTGAATCACTTACTAATACATCGGCACACGTGGATTGTGTATCAGCTCACTCTTTTCTCAGAAACGGCGTGCCCGCTGCCGCCCCCAGCCTCTGTTACTGCTCTTCCCCAGTCTCCTCTGGTTGCTCTTTGGGCCTCCTCGGCTACCCTGGCATTTCCGTTCAGCAGCCTTCAAGGCATTCTCTCCTCCCTCCTGTGTCCTTTCACTTAGTCCAGGATCCACACCTACCTCTTCTCTTTCCTTGTTCGGTGGAATACATTTTCCAGGAAATTCCCTGAGTAAAAGGATCTATGGAGGAATATTTTTTGAGCCCACATGTAACTGGAAATATTACTTTTACTACTGATTCATTGTTGGACTTATAAATGGCCCACATAGCTAGTAAAAAGCAGGGTGGAAATTAAACCCAGATCCTCCCAATGATCAAGTTTAAGCTCTTTGCACTGTGCCGTGCTTTGAATCTGAGTGCGTGACCTGTATGTTGGGAACCTCTTTTTTGGGTTTTGGGTCCAGTGCTTTAAAAAAGTTTAATTTTATGCATGAGTTACTTTGGTAGTTTTGTGATGATATATCTTTCTTATTTTCTTTAGCAATCTTTTGGATAGATTTATATTCATGAATTCCTCATAGTAGAGGAAGGAAACCGTGAAATCAGTTTGAGCCTTAGTTGCCAATCTGTAGAAACTGTATTTGATACAGAGTTGAATCAAATGAGTTTATTGAGTTCTCTGTGGATTTCAGATATCAAATGCTTCAGATAAGTCTTCTTAATTAAGACTGTGAGTTGCTCCAACGAGAGGCGGAAGTAGTTACTCTACTTGCCTAACTGCCGTGACAGATGTATCTTGGGGATTTTCATGCTCTTTACCTTGGTAAATTATAGTTTTATACTCTGTCAGGAAACAACAAACCTCTAAATGAGCACTCTGGGATTATCTCCTGAAACTTTTCCTGAGAGTAGTACCAACCTAATCTTGTTGAGTAGGCAAGGTGGTTTAGCTTAATTTGTTCCTTTTTTTTTAATGTGGTTGTTCATGAACTCAATGAATATTCATTGAGCATCCACTCTGTGCCAGCTGCTATCCTGTGTACTGGGCATATAGCAGTGAGCAAGATACATACATCTCTCTTGCCGTGGAGCTTACATTCTAACAGCAGACAGATAAATACCATAATAAATCAGCAAATGGTAATACAATTTTAGGTGGCAGATGCTATAAAGAAAATAAAACAGAGTAATTTGATAGAAATTATAGGGGCATTAGATAATGTAGTCAGGAAAAGGCTTCTCTTAAGGAGTTGACATTTGAGATGAGTCATGAATTAAAAAAAAATCAAAATTAAAATAAAAGCAGCCATTCACAGGCAGAGAGAACATCAGGGCAGAGGCCCTGATGTAGAAACAGTGTAGGTGAGTGTGATTAGAGTGTAGTGAGCCAGGGGAAGAACGGTGTATGGGAAGGCAGGGCCAGGTCCTGTAAGACCTTGTAAGAGTGTATATTTGGTTTTATTCTTAGTATAGTGGGAAGTCATTGAGAATTTAGAGGGACAAATAATAATGATTTTATCTATTTTTTAAAAGACCATGATATCTGTTGAATAGAGAATAAATTGTAAGGTGGCAAGAAATAGTAAGAAAACTAGTCTGAAGGTTTTTCACCCAAGCAATATTTATTGATCGCCAAGTACTGTATCCCAGACAATATTTAGGTACTGGGAATGTAACAGTAAGGAAGCAGACCAAGTCTCTGCCCACACGGAGCTTACATTCTGATGGGAACAGTCGGACAGTTAATGGATGAGTAAAATGTGTCAGCTGGTAATATGTGCTATGGAGAAACTTAAGGTAAGGGTAGAAAGTGTTGGAGCTGCTGTCTTAGATCTGCTGGCCCAGGAAGGCACGTTTAAGAAGGTGATACTGATGTGTGAGAAGAGACCTGAGTGAAGTGAGGCTGTTTTAGTGAATTAGGCCAGAGATGGGCCATGGCTGGAGTGGTAGCAGAGGTAAAACGGACAATTCAAGGTGGACTTGCCAAGTAGCACGGTAGTACTTGCTGGTGAATTTAATATGGGGGATGACTGAAAGAGGAATCAAGAGTGACCTCTACATTTTTGGTTCAAGCAACTGGATAAATGGTGATGCTGTTTACTGGGGTGGAGGCGGGGGAGGAGAGAAAGGGTTGTGGATGGGGAGAGGAGCTCAAAATCACCAAATATTTGGAAACTAAATAATACACTTCCAAATAACACATGGTCTAAGAAAAATTAAAACTGAGAAATTTCAAAAGTATTTATTAACTCCTTTAAAAACAACAGTCAATCCTTTACATGTTGACATAAATCATAAATAACTTGTTTTGGTAAAAAAAAAACAAAACGAAAAACAAAAAAACTATTCCCAACACACCAAAAATTTAAATAAATGGAGATTTCTGCTTCTAACCCAGAGGGAATAACCAAGACTTTACTTTCCTCCACTGAAAGCTGGAAAATCAGGTGAACCGTGTAAAACAATGGGTTTTCAAATATTGAAAAAAGGTAGGACTGTTCTCCCTGAGAGAAAGAGAGTAAATCAGGTGATAAGCTCTACAGTTGCAGCAGCTTGCAGGCAGTTTCAAGGCCCGGGATGGGGGAACCCCAAAATAATCTGATGGTATCACTGAATAGGTACAACAGAAATCAGAGCTGTGGAGGCCAAGGTGACTAGGACAGAGTTTCAGGAGAGAGGGACCCGCAGAGAGAAGAGAGCTTTAA